GAGAGAGAGAGAGAAAGAGAATGAATACGAGCGAGCGTATGTGAGAGAGAAAGGGGCATAAGAGAATATGCGGAGTGTGAATGTGTGTAAAAAGTAATATAATGTAACTATCACGATAGAGTTGATTTAAATTGTAATTATATATGATGTTCTCTCTTACGGCGACACACACACACACACACACACAGACAAGACACACTTGACACGACACACAGGACACACGCGAGATATGCTAGGTACTTGTACATATATACATATAATATGCGTTACTTATTAAGTCTAAGCTCTTAAGTATAAGACGCGCGAATCGTCGAGAAAGAAGAAACCCGTCACATCCTTCGTCCCATCCTGTGAGTCGCGTCGCTATCCTCAAATCCTTCCCTCGAGTTCCATTTTCTACTTTGTACTATAGCACATTACGATCGGCACACCTCTCACACGCCCTTCCCCCTCCCCCCCCCGTCCGCCAACATCGTCCCCCGCCTCCCTCTTCTCCTCTCGCGATAATGCTCCCTCTTTCTCCGCGCGATTTCTCCACGGTAACGACGAGCAATATTACTCTTAACAAGCGCGGGGAATTTAGGGAAAGAGCGTACGTACAAATCGATGCATCTGACCCCGCGAGAGTGTCACACACGAGGATCTTTATGTATGCATCCGTATGCGCGTTGGGCGTCGAACATTCGATGTAGGAACGGCGGGTGAACGGGATCGTAGGCTGAGCGAATTGAATGCAAAGGCTCGCACCACTCAGGGAAAGAGCAACGATTAAGGCGGAAGAGTAACTCCTTTCCGACCGAGAGAGTTGATTTGTAGGGTGTACCAGCTGTTGCGAGTACATTGTACTTACGAACATTGGACTGGATGCTATTTCTCACTGTTGGCGTCTTACAGAATTTAAATTTGTCAAGCGGATGGAAATTCAGCTCGGCGAAATAAATAAAGAACGAATGAAGGTTCCGCGACGTCTGTTCGACCATTCGAAATCTTTAATCTTTCGAATCGTTTAGCAATTAAAAAATTATGCCGGGAGACACGAGGAACACCCTGCAATATGGATTGAAGTGAACGGAAGTAAATCAGTGGTCGAGCTTTTCATTTCTGATCCGATTCACCCTCCAGTTATTGTGCGCTGAAGGAAGGATTCGGCGTGCGTTTGACTGCTCCGCAGTAAAACAAGTTGTTCCACATTCTTTTTTACAAATTACTTAGTTTTCTAATATTTAACTGTAATTATGATTAATATTCTGTAGTCTAAATCATTTTTTTATTATCTTTGAGCGAAGTAAAGTGATGAGTGATGATAATTTAACAAATGTCGAATCACGTCTGATATCTGCAAAAATGAACATCTTGCTCACAATGTTTTTCGGCGGAGCAGCCGCGTTGTTCTTCCACGATGTTGTTGATACCAAGCGAAGCTACCAGAAGCGTCGTACAGTCGCGCATATTCCAAGTCGCATACGTTTCCATAAATTAATCCCTTCTCAGATTCGATCGAAGAGAATAATCTGGTGGAAAAAGTAACTCATATATCTTCATTTCGTCGATCTGGAAAAAACGCGCAAAAATTTCTAGAAAAATTAAGTGCTACCAAGAAGGGTTACGAAGGCCAATGCGTGCCGTGCTAGCAGCGTCTCGCGCGCGATATCATCTCAATCGTGGATCCGCACGTAAACAACACAGTCGAGTAGCAATTGAATGGTGATTACTATATACGTAAGTTCAACGAATCAGATTCGATTGCTGGTCGGCTGTTACTGCAGCTATTGTCTTCGTTGAATGCAGTCGACAATAGTCTACACGGAGATAATCGATACGAACACACAGGCGGATTTAGCAGAAATAAAAAAAAAGAGTAAAATTGTCGATATGTATAGAAAAATTCTAATGTAAAAAATGCGTTTATTGGCGTTGCAGTTTGACATAGTCTACGATGATCTCTGTAATAATAAGATCTGCGGTCCCTTTCGTAAAGGAAATTTCTAAATCCGCCAAAGTCAACGGTCTCTCACTAGACAAACGTCTGAAGGACATCTCGAAAGACGCACTGAATCTTCGAGATCTTCTTTAAACAACTATTAAGCGTCCTCTCAAGTTTTGTTGTTTGGCTTTCCACACAAGGTAAATGCGAGCGAGCAACGCTGCGTGGCATCGGCAGGTAATGTTTTTCGCGATCACGCTGACGCGTAGCTCGCGATCGGACACGCGTTATTTCGTGAAGTGCCTAAAAACCGCCGAAAGAGAAAGTTACGGTTGTTATTCGCGACGGCAAGGTCGCGCGAGCGAGTCTTCGGCACGCCGACGTGCATACGGCGAGAGCGGTGTGCGACACGACACTCTAACGATAAAAAAGCGTTTTTTTTATTTCTAATTTTCTTTCTTTTCAGTTAGTTTTTTTTTAAATCGGGATATCGGATGGAGGCGTTTGTAAATAGTATAAATAATGCGAGGAGATACGTTTAAGCGAAAAAAATGAAAAAGAGGATATAATAAGTCTAATATTGAGAAAATATATAAATAAGATATTATATATTATATATTAAAGAAAAAAAGTGTATATGTGTATACGTATACGTATACGTGTGCGTATATGTGTATAAGATTATTATATACACGTATATATGTATATATTTATCTTGGTAAATAATACAAAGCGGCGACGGGCTCGCGATCGATCCTTCCTCATCGTCGCGACGACATTCGGACGACTCATTTTTACTCGCGCACTTTGCGACTGCTCAGTAATATTTCCCGACATGGCGATCTGTTTTTCTCGGGTCTTTCGCTGAACGACTTTTCCCGACAGACTGTTTCGCTCCTATGATCAGAGGCCGGTGCATTTCGCCGATTGTGCACGATTTCGAGAGAAGCGTATCTGCGATATATTTCTTTTTTCATACTAAGCCTGTAACTTGCTTCAACGTGGGGCTTACGTTATAGCACAGCTATATGATCAAGTTCCTATTATTACGGTGTCTGAGCGAAATTTAGTTATTTATTTCGCGATACAGAGTCCGAGTCGTCGTTACGAGAGCTTGTCCGATCTCGTCTCTCCTTTCGGCCCTTTCGAAGAAGATTGTGAGCGAAGAGCGAGAGTTCCGGGCGGGAGAAGAGACGATAGCGAGATTAGTCAGCGGGGAAGTGATCGGATGCGCGTCCCGGCGCCGTCGTAAGAAATTAGGGCAGGAAGGATGCACGATGTTGTACATTGTAAATAGTAGCGCGAAGGACGACGGTTACAGAGAGACACAGAGTTAATTAATTTAAAAGATGAGAGAAATATAGAGTAAAAAAAAGGGCGATCGCGAGTCGAGGCGGTGTCGTCGGCGCCGCGTCGAGCAAAAAAAAAAAAAAAAAGACGCACGGCACAGCGGCACTTCCGGATCGTCCGGATCGCAGCGCGGAAGTGCAATACCTGTGCTGTCGCGACGGGACGATGAGAACTCGAAAGCGATCTCCCCGGCGCCGATTGACCTTTGGTGCCGGCTTTCGCGCGGCTCACGTTCGCGAACGCACACGAGCGAGCGAACGATCGATCGGGGACCTCGCTGAAAATTATCGCGCGCTCACGAACGAACTCTGCTGGAGTCGTCCGCCTTGATTCGACCCTGACGCCGTGCGCTCGCAACGCGCGCGCCGGGTGCGCGCGTTTTAACAGAGCCGAAAGTTTTACTCCGAGAGATGCGATATAATTGTATTCGTCGACGACCACGCGCCGATCACTCGATCATAACGTAGGAGGAGCGTGGCGTTGCGAGGCCGCTGCGTCTAAAAAGCAAAAAGAAACTTAAGGGGGAAAAAAAAGAACAATACAAATCCATACGGAGCGTGTGACGAGTTTTGAGCGAAGACACCGGCAGTGGTTGCCGCTATGTTTGAGCGAGCGGGACGAAAACGCGTACGACTCGATCGGGCCCACGTTTGTACTTGCGCACAAAAAGCACGTGTGCTCCTCGATTATTTAGGAATTGAGAAAAAACAATCGGCGAATGAAGGAATGTCGCAGGAGAGAGAAATCGCAATTACTCTAGTCCTAGATGCGGTCAGCGAATAGTACGGCACACGTGTGTTCGCGAGTGATCGGGCGTGTCGCCATTTCCTTTCGTTTCTCTTTGTTCTAAAATCGTGGAGTTGTATCACGTACTGTTCTACCAAAATATATTAGCGGCGGCGGCAGCGGCAGCAGTAACAGCAGCAACAGCAACAGCAGCAGCAGCAGCAGCAGCAGCAGCGGCAGCAGCAGCAGCAGCAGCAGAACTGACAGTAAATGCGGAGTCGTTTAACTGGATATTGAATGACAAAAGTTGAATAAAAAGAAAACTGCGGCGCACGATATGAAAAACAACAAGAACTATCAAAAATAAAGAATATTATTCTATATATAACAATGACTTTTATTATACCTGATCTTTCGTCTTTTAATTACGTAGATAATCGTATTATTATAAGTTTCCAGTAAACCGTTGAATAGAAAATCGCATAATCCTATTTACACAATAATTTCCTCAGTTAAGTATGCGCAAAATTTCTATAAAACTTCTGATGATTGGCGGCATTTATCCCAGCATGGATTTCATCTTTATTCGCAATCCGCACAAACTGCACATCTTGTTAAATTTTGAAGAATATTGATGGAGCTGTGGGCAGAAGCAAAAAGAATTTCGTTAAAAACGCAAGTAAGTATAATAATTACAAGTATAACGATAGAAAAATGCTTACACCAAGTGTTTTCTTGATATTTCGTACATTTTCGATATTTCGAAAACGATATTTAAATATAATTCTGACTCGATACATTATCGTTCTCAATATCTATTCACGCGTTAGTCCGCGAATTCTGTTCCAGTCAGCTGTCGGTGGATGAAATTATACCTCATGTATACAATTATAATTAGTATTAAAATTATTCAATCTCCGAAGAGTCAGTAGCGCTGACATAAGCTTGAAGAATATGTGGCGGCGAACCGACATAGTTCGGTATCACCGAAGTCTCTTGTTCATGCGCTGCGGCGTGCTTCAACATATCTTTCTTCCGTTTAAAGACCTCATTACAATGACCACATTGCATTAATTTGCTATTGTGCGTTTTTGCATGCTTCAACATGTCGTTCTTTTGCGAGAAGCTTCTACCACAAGTCTCGCAAGTGTACGGCTTAACACCCGTATGGATCCTCTCGTGGACAGCTAGCGCGCCTTTGCGCGTAAAACATTTGTTGCAATAACGACACTTGTGCGGCTTCAGGCCCGTGTGAATCTTCATGTGCTGGCTGAGATTACTGGAACATCTGTATCGCGTATTGCACACCTTACAGACGTACGGGCGTTCGCCAGTATGTATTCTCTCGTGAATCAGCCGCGCCTCTCTCGAGACGAACGAGTCTCCGCAGTAGTGACACATGTGCGGCTTCTCCTTAAAATGCATAGACTTCTTGTGATACAACAACGAGCTCTTACTCGCTAATTTTTTGCCGCACTCATCACACTCCATGCATAGTTTATTGTCTTTGTGTATTCGTTCGTGATTTATCAACAGAGCGCGTTTCGCAAACATCTTGTTGCAGACGCTACACTGCCATACATCCTTATCGTTGCATCTCTTTTTAATGCTATCTACTATTTCTTCCGTAGTATGATTTTTCCTGTGTATCTTCAATTCGCTCATAGATTTGCATTTGTAGGCACAGACCTACAATATTGAATCAGTGACTCGTATTATTTTTAATAAGAATGTGTGATAATAAAATCATCAAAATATAATAATAAAAATAATATATATATCTATCAGATTTGATTCTGATGTATAAAGACAAGAAGTTTACAATTTGCAATAAACTTACGCTGCAAGTGTATGCCCCATCCCCATTATTGTGCCGTTTCATATGCGTATTCATGTTCCCTCTTCGATTAAACGTTGTGCCGCAAATTGGGCATATGTGTTTGTTGGAACTGTGTGATAATTTGTGTTGTCGTAACTGAATCCTCTTGTAGAAGGCTTTCCCGCATTGTTCGCAAGAATACGGTCTGTTGTCATCATGTAGATTCATATGTTCTCGCAAATGAAATCTATATGAACACGAAACATAAGGTACAAAAGATATGGCTTTGTAAAATCAATCGAAATAGTTTTTCTAAATAAAATTTCTAAAATTATTACCGTGATCTGAACGCATTGCCACAGACCTCACACACATGTCTCTTCTTTACAGATTCGTCCAAGTGAATTCTTTTATGACCTCTTAAATTATTGGAGTGCTTAAAACTCTTTCCACACAAATCGCAAAGATATGGCTTATCTATCCTGTGAGTAGCTTCGTGAATGTCCAAGCTGGACCATTTTTCGTACGTTTTATCGCACGTAGAGCATTTAAATAATAATTGTCCTTTATGCGATTCCATAATATGATCTAACAAGTTTTTTCTATTGTGATAAACTTCCTTACAATGTCCACATCTTTTACTAGTTTCAGTGAGATTCCCATGAAGACATTTGTGATTATTGTAATTCTGCTGACATTGAAACACTTGGTTGCAAGTTGTACAATGTAGTGGTTGAGAGACTTCAGCAGACTTGTTAATAGCTTGATTATTTTCAAATCTTTTGTTACATATCTGCGAACTTTCTAGTTCTAACAATGAACTAACTTGTTCATTCTTATATTTTCTAGTTTCTGCAATTTTAGGTACAGTTATATACTTAGGAACATTTTCGTTCTTACCACAGAATATTTTATGATTCTCAAATACTTCCTGTGTCTCGCAGACAGTTTGGCACTGCAAACATAAAATGCTTTGATTTCCATCCAAAATTTTACCTCGTTGAATTTGAGATATTTCTCCCGCAATAGTCTGATTATTTCGATTGTTAACTTCTCTACAAGTTTGAATTAAAGGGCTTAGCTGTGATGACATAATATTCTTTGTAACATTCTCGAAATTATTACTTTGTGTTTCAGAACATTCTCCACTCTCTAGCTCTCTCAAACATGTTTTTGTTTTAGAGTTCAGCATCTTATACGTAGCAAATGAGGCACATTCAGGTTGTATATTATCATCCATACATATTTCTTGAACTATCTCCAATGAACATTCTTCAATCAAAGCATTGTACTTGCTCTCATATTCTGACTGCAAAATGTCATACTTTTACAGATTTACAGATTATACATAATAAGAATATTTTACAAACATTTTTGATAGACAAATCTGTAAAAAAAATTTAAAGGCTAATATCACATTACCTCTTTGTCGATATTTAAAAATCTTCTCAACCTAATATCAGTTCTTAAACATGAAATAATTAGTGAGTGTGTAATTTCCAATTTGTTGCAGCAATCAATGCATACTTTCTGCGGCATTGAATCTTCTATGTCAATTGAGACAGGCATATGCAAACTTATTTTTTCCTTTAATCTAAGCTCTATACCTTTGGCTGCAAAAATATCTACTCCCTCCAAAGCAGATTCACCACAAATTCGACATAAATTGGAAAGTCTGATGGTGATGTCACGATATTCATCTATCTCAACATTCATATCGCAATATGTTAAAGGCACATTGTCGCCTACTTCTTGGAGATGTTGCGATTTGTCAAATATACTTATCGATTCACTATTGATACTTAAATTGGTCCCAAATAACGTAGGAACAGTGCCTTCTTCTATAATAATAGGAATGGTTTTGCTTATGTAACAGCGATCTTCGATATGATGGGAGCAAATGTAATAATTTAAATGCAATTCTGCATTCGATTTTGTGGTCAAATCGGATCTGCCACAACATTTTGCCCATATTTTAGCCCTGTAAAAATAATTTTTTAAATTTTGTCTTACAGTAATAAACTGATAATATATCTCTGAGACAATTACATATCATTATTGAGTAACAATAAATGAGTTTTCTAATTACTTAAATATCACTTATCCTAGTAAACATTAGAAGCATTAACTTATCGAAGACTGCACTTACGTGTCATCATTAGGAAAATTAATAAATATGATATTTGATGAATCCTCATTTTCTGAAGAGTATTTACAATTTAACGCGGCGCAAACAATTCTCATGTTGAATGATTATTGTCAATTATACGTAAGATCAAATCTGATTACTCAAACTGTACTTCTCAAGCAATATTTTTGTTTATGTGTCGCTGAGGAACACGACTGCTACGCCATTCTCCCTACTTTTCGTGAACTATCTCATTCGTGGCGCCTTATTTTAAAATTATACCTTGGATTATCACTACTCTCGTGACAAAGCATGTACATTTTGCAATAATTAATTTTATTTATACAAATGGTGTATAATTAATTTCATAATACATTTTATAGATTGTTAATGTAATTAATGCTAAATCAGAAATTTATATTAATGTCGAAAGTGATGTGAAACACTTGTTATTAATTTGAGTCTGAAATACGAATAACTCAAACATATTTCGATCGCTCATAAATATGAATTTATTTAACTTATAATAATTTAGTTATTTAATCACAACCAGCGTATGTGTACGTGTGTAACAAAATTCAATAATCATAAAATCATATATTATTAAGAAGTATTTTATATAAAATTTTTTTATATAAACAGCGAGATTATACTTCAATCGAATTTAGCACATGAAAGATTTCTGGATTGTCAATGTCCAAAAACAAACATTTAAATACGTCATTGTAAAAATCTGGATAATATTCACACGCTCGCTGACAATCGGGTGTAAAATTAATTTCTAAAAGCTTGGGCTGCATCTCCGAGTCTCTCCACTCCAACATTAAGTCTGCGGCATACAAAGCTCTACTTTGCGGACTTTCGGCGATTCCCCTTGGCGGCAATTGTGCGACTGCGGCCTCAAAAACCTGTCGCAACACGGAAAGAACTTTTGGCTCGACATAGGTTTTCCAGGGATAATCCGGATATTGATTTTCCCACTCAACGATGAAATCGGCGCATTTCACGTGGCAGAGATTCTCTTCAATGTAATTCATCACGGTGAAATGTTGTGCATATACGTCAAAGTTATTCAACGCAAATGGTAGATTCGCAAAACGCAAGAAAAAGTTTGCGTAAGCGTACGCGCATAGTGGTTTTACAGATTTCAGCAACACGACGTATCTCACGTCGAATTTCACTTGATGAACGTTTGGTCTGTTGTACAAAACTGGTCGTGATATGTACTTTTGTGCAATTTTAGGCCCTGTACAAGGTAGTCTTAGAATGTGATAGAGATTATTAGTGATGTGAGTATCCAAGCCTCTTGCTAAATTCCACGGTTTGCAAATCCAATGATTATCCAAATCCTTATCTGCCCGTTGCGTAAAGTATGCAACAAATTGTACCAATTCTGTGCTCAAGTTATACGTCGTCGGTAACCAAACCGGATAAGTGTCAAGAGTGTCAAAATCATACAATTTGTTTGTTGCTTTTCTTCTGCAAACAATCGACAAGAGATCCTTTATCGTCAAAACATTTTCATATGGAAATTGATTTACAAAAACATGAGGCGAAGAAATACTTAATTCCTTATACATTTTAAAATGCGACACGAGCCACAATATATCCGCTTCTTCTTTGTTGTCTGTGATTTCAAATGCAGGATCTGTCAAATAATTATTCACATTACTGTACTGTGAAAAAACCTTCAATTTTTGGCTGATATTTTTCTTGATTGTATCCATCTTTTCCGGCAAGCTTTCAGAAACATGCCCTGTTGAGAAGTAATTTGTGTCTGGTTCAGTTTGTTCAAAACTTTCGTTTTCAAAAGTGCTGTGTACCCAAGGCAACAATAATGCACGTCTCTTTTGAGCACTCTTTGTCTGGCCTTCTACAAAATCCCTTGTGACTTCATCGCCTACAGCAACATCTTTTATAGGAAACAGAAGTGTATAAATAGTACCATCTGGCATATACAGAAAAGGCACTGCTCTAAAATTTGGTTCATCACAATGATTTATGGCTGATCCAACTTCATCCATAACATACCATATTGGCATCCTATCTTCTACCTCGCCATAATTTATTGAATATGACTGATTGTATCGCCACATCTCATTTAAAACATTTTCAATTTTTTCTTGCTCTTCTGCATCAGTATCTAAGCCCATGAGAGAGCACATGCGATCAAGCAGAGCAGGTACTTGAGTTAAATGTTGTTGAGCATTGGAGACATCATATGTCCATGCATGATCAATCAAATAAATGTTATTTCTATCTTGTGCACAAATTCCATCTTGCGCAGATACAAGCAATTTCCAAACTGGATCTGTAACACATTTTTCTCCCTCTTCGTATTCTACTTTCACCAACTGGAAGACTAGACCAGCGTCAAAAATCTGATCCTTTAATTTCTTGTACAGAATTTCCCAAAATAATTGTGGAATACCGTAAGACTCAAGTTGTAGTCCATGTGTCTGAAGAAATACATTATATAAATTTGTCCCATCCATTACAAGATAAATTAATGAACCTAAAATAATTTGACATTAATTATTTTTCAATCCAAAAAGAACAAAAATATCAGATATATATTATTAAAAATGACCGATACTTACATGTATTTCTCGAAATCGAAGATATTGATTGTGACAGTCAATCTATTGACAGAGAATGATCGACTATAATATATTGACAATAAAAATCAAATAAAATTTAGAACAAGATATTTATTTAGATTCTTTTACTTATTTATACTAAATCCGTCTTCATAGAACTTAACATTCATTTAGCAAAATACATGAAACCTGAAGAGACCAGGAATTAATGTTTACAGAGGATTCATATTGCGTCCATAGACGTAGTAAATATAGACTGCATGTTCCCAATTTCTATACCTGAGCGGCGCGCGTATAGAGAACATTAGATGCCAACATCTAATAGCAAAAAGTGTTTCCTAGGGACCTTGTAAATAGTCTAATACTAGATTATTAAAAAAAAAATTTTTTTATTAAATATTAAATACTATATGTAGAACACAGTGTAAATCTTCCATTCAATAATTTCTGCAATTGATAAGCGTATTAAAATTATTGATTTTCTATCATCTACAAATGTACATTTTTGATCCAATCAGATTCAGATTCAATCAGATTTATTTTTCTAGAAATCTATATACAAACCTATGCCCAATGTTTTTTTGAACGCAACTACCGATAGCCTTTCGGGCTCTTGCACACAGAACGCGTAACGCGTTGACGCGTGGCCAAAGGCGACGTGCTAGCCAATCAATCTTTTGTTCTTACGGTAAAGCTGTAAGTTGATTAGCTATTGCGTCCCCGCTTGCCACGCGTCAACGCGTTACACGTTCTGTGTGTAAGAGCTCTTACTCTCACTCCTCCCCAATTGTTTATTCACTTCCTTTTCTTCGTGTGTTGGCAGATATACCAAGATATACTTTACTTGTGTGCTAATTGGCGATAAAGTAACTCGAGTATTTCAAAAAGGCAATTAAAAGTAAGTAATTTATTACAAACATATTCTGGAACTGTAAATATTTTACATATTTAATTAAATTCATCTTTTTTTAAACTTGAGTTCTATCACGTCGCACGTGGAATTTAAATATTCGTGTTAGGTCAATTCAACCGTTTCTTTACCGGTTTACTTCTTTTTCTTACAAAGAATAAAAGAATAAGCTTATAATTATTTAAACACATATAATGTAATTATATGTGTTTATAATTATTTGTTGTTTATAATTAAGTTTGAAATATTTAATATAAAACTGATAATCGCAAATTCTTTGTTCTCAATAAAAATTGGTCTGAAAAAATTCTAATTTACATAATACGGTATCATGGATGTATAAAGTCGTTAAATAGTTTTCAAATATCCTAAAATAAAATATATTATAGAAAAAGAAGAGTAGTACTAAAAAAAGCACACATGCTCACACATATTCATATTAAAAAACAAGACTACTAAGATTACAGAAGAAAATAATGTATATATTAAATTTTTTTTATATCTTATATTATTATATAAGATCTATCTTAATATATTATATTTTTCATATGAATTTATTTAATTTCACGTTTTAGCATCCTTAACTCTAATTTTCATATTGTAACAATCTTAATAGTTCTAGTGTTACAGTTCTTTAATAATCTTAATGCTTTTAATTATTATAGCAACTTAGAAACAATGGGTAATAAAAAGAAATCAGCACAAAATCCAAATGCAGTTGCAAATCAATCGATGGATGAAATAAAAAATGGTTCAGTAAAAAAAAACAAGAATTCCAAGTTGAAAAGTACATCTGGAGGCAAGACAGCTTTGATTAACAATTCAAAAATACAAAATAAAAATCAATCATCTCAGAAAAATCTCCAGAATATTACTGATGCAAAGAATAATCAGAATTTACTTCAAAATAACAAGAAAGAATTGAAAGAACAATATTCTCTGAAAGGAAAAGGAAAGGTTTCAAATCAATCACAAAACAGACCAGTCAACAGGAAGATGACAGAAAAGGAATTAGAAGTTGATGACTCTGAGTCATCGGATTGGCAAAGTATGGAAAGTGAAGTTGATGATGTTTCAGATATACATAAGAAGAGTTTAGCAGATGAATCAGAGGAGGATGATGAGGATTCTGAAGAAGAAGATGAAGATGACGAGAGTTGCGAAAATGAAGATGTTAGGGATGAAAGTAGCAGCGGAAACGATGAAGATGATGAGAGTTGCGAAAATGAAAATGTTGGGGATGAAGGTAGCAGTGGAAACGATGAAGATGACAAGAGTTGCGAAAATGAAAATGTTGGGGATGAAGGTAGCAGTGGAAACGATGACGATGACGATGACGACGACGACGACGACGATGACGACGACGATGACGATGACGACGACGATGACGACGACGACGACGACGACGACGACGACGACGACGACGACGACGGCGGCGACGACGACGACGATGACGATGACGATAACGATAATGATGATGATGATGATGATGATGAACAAGAAGAAAAAAAAGATATAGATGAAATGGAAATTTGTAATGATATAGAAATGCAAACGATTGGAGACTGCATCATAAGAGAGACGTACAAATTTAGGAAATATTTTTCCGTCCCTGATGAAGTGGTTAATAGAACAACTATTAAAATTGAACATCTTCCCAAGACTATAACTGAAGAAGAAATAAGAACAAAATTTGAAAAGTTTGGTTCCATTAAAAACATATGCTTGAGAACAAAACAAAAAAGTAAAAATAAATTTAATATAAAACGTCCAAATAATCCACTCGGTGAAGTTTCAGCATGCATTGAATATGATAGTCCAATATCTGCCAGAAGGGCATTTAGCATGCATAGAAAGCTATTTGGAGGAAATACAATAAACGTACAGTATATGGATAGATTCTACTTAGCCCACCCATTTGATGGTAGTAAATGTGTATGGATAAGCAATCTGATTCTTGGTATGTATAACAAATATATATTTCACAAATATGTATTGTGGATTATATAGTAAGAAAACTAATAATTGATTAATTGTGAAAATTTCAGGTGCAGATAACGCCTCTCTTTGGAAAGCGTTTCATAAATGTGGAGAAATAGAATATGTACATGTATTTCGAAGTCACATTTCAGGATTTGGCCATGGGTTTGCTTATGTTGTTTTTATGAAGAAAAATGCTGTAAATGAGGCTGTAAAACTAGATGGAACTATGATTCTGGATCAGCAAATAAAAGTAACCGCATGTTGTCCTGAGAAAGTAAAAGATAGAAAAGGTCAATTAAAAAAAGCTAAAGAAATAAAGAAAGTTTTAGTTAAAGACACAGAAAATTTACAACATAAAAGCAATAATAAAAATCCACCTAAAAAATTCAAGAATAATTCGGGAAAAGCTGTAGCACGTAAAGTAAGTGTTTTATTTTTTTTTTGTAAAATTGTTTTGATAAAAAGAAAATTGGTGTTTTATATTACGATTTCTTTTATAGGCTAAAAATAAAAAACAATAGATACCTCAGAAAAGTAATGTTAAAATAAAGGCCTTGTAGAAAAGAAATCGACACCATTCTAGGAGGACAAAAAGCTAATATCAAACAGAAAAAGAACAAGAAATTCAACAAGCAAAAATGTAAATGAAGGGAAAACTGACAACTAAACCAAATAAACCCATAAAAGTGTAAGTGAACAATGTTATGATACATTTGATAGTTCATAGGATACAATTAAGAAATATACTCAACATATGACTCATAACGTTCATTTACTATAAAAAAAGTAAATTTTTGCTAGTGTTTTATTCAAAAGTTTTACAATAATACATGAATTATTTTATATATAAAACAAAAATAAATTTGTAGCTTGTAGATAATTTTTTTAATTATAATTTGTACCATTTAATAAATACAATATATATTTAGTAATAAAATTGCATTTTTTCAATTCTGCATGTTAAATTTCTGATCTCGCTATGTAGTTGGGGTAGTAAATTCTGCATATTGAACTCGCATTAGAGGCCAAAGCGTTTTGTGTAAAATATGCTGCATCCCATACATACAACACGACTGTATATATTGCAATTAGCGCCTAGAACCAAGATTCACTTTTGTTTGGTAAACGGAATGGGTCTTTTATAATGTAACAGTCGTCTGAATCAACAAATTACTGAGCGAACGATGGGGTCTCGCGAATTTGTAGTCAGTATTCTTTCAAAGAACAAGAAGAACATAACAATTTGACATCTATTTATTATTTCAATACCAAAAAGAACAGATATCAGATATACACAATTAGATATTAAAATATTACTGATGCTTATTGACGCGTGTTTCTCGAAATCAAAGATATTGATTGTTAATCTTATTGACAGAGGATGACCAAATATAAAATTATTAACAATATAATTCAAATGAAATTTAGAATAAGGTATTTATTAGGATTTCTCTATTAATTTATATGAAATTTGCCTAAATCTTGATGTTCGTCCAGCATAATCCACAGGTCTGTTCGCGTTGCAATGTCGCAAATATACGTAACATAATACTATAGATTAGAACGTATTGAAGCGAGTAGAAGCATGTTGAGACATACGACGCAAAGAAACTTTATAAAACCGGGAACACATATTTACGGGGGAGCAAAATTACGTCTAATGTTTAATGTCCGATACGCTTCTAGTAGGGAAAAAGTGTTTTCTAGGGACTTTGCAAATAGTCAATTTGATTTTAAAATATTAATTTTTTTTATTAAATATATATAGAACACAGTGTGTAAATCTTCCATTGAATTTGTGTGATTGATAGACGCATTAAAATTATTGATTTTCTATCATCTACGATTAATGTATATTTTTGACCCACCAGTCGGATTTATTTTTCTAGAAGTCTATAGACGAACCTATATACTTTAGTGATTTTTTTGAACGCAACTGCCGATAAATCTTGGAAGGGGGAGGGGCGGTTCTTGTACACAGAACGCGTAACTTGGGGACACGTGGCAAGCACGACGCAATAGCCAATCAACTTACAGTTTTACCGTAATAACAAAAGATTGATTGGTTAGCACGTCGTCTTTGGCCGTGTGTCAACACATCATATGTGCAAGAGCTTTTACTCTCACTGCTCTCATTGTCAGCTTATTCGCTTTTCTCCGTGTTGTGGATGGATATAGTTCACTTGTATATTAAACGGCGATAACTGAAGTATCTCGAGTATTTCGAAAAGGCAATTAAAAGTAAGCAATTTATTACAAATATATTCTGGAATTATGAATATTTTTATATTTAATTAAATTCGTCTCTTTTTAATCTTAAGTTTTATTACGTCGCACGTGGAATTTAACTTTAAATATTTGCGTTAGATCAATTCAACCGTTTCTTTACCGGTTACGTTTGCTTCTTTTCTTTATAAAGAATAAAAGAGTACGCTTATAATTATTTGTTGTTTATAATTAAGTTTGAAATATTTAATATAAAACTGATAATCATAAATTCTTTGTTCTCGAAAAAGATTGTTCTGGAAGAAATTCGGTACTTTATTCAATACACGTTATCATGAATGTATAAAGTCGTTAAATAGTTTCCAAATACCCTAAAATAAAATATATTATAGAAAAAGAAGAGTAGTACCATATCTTAAGAAAAATTAACAAAAAAGCACACATCCTTGAGACATATCCATATTATAAAAAAACAAGTTAAGACTACTAAGATTATAAAAGAACATAATTCATATATTATTAAATTTTTTGTATATTATAAATATACTTAAAATCACGTTTTGTTATCCTTAACTTCTATTTTCATATTGTAACAATCTTAATAGTTTTAATGTTTCAGATGGTCCTTTAATAATCCTAATGCCTTTAATTATTACAGTAACTTCGAAACAATGGGTAAAACGAAAAAGAAATCAGCACAAAATCCAAATGCAGTTGCAAATCAATCGATAGATGAAATAAAAAGTGGTTCGGTAAAAAAAAACAAGAATTCCAAGTTGAAAAGTACATCTGTAGGCAAGACAGCTTTGATTAACAATTCAAAAATACAAAATAAAAATCAATCATCTCAGAAAAATCTCCAGAATATTACTGATGCAAAGAATAATCAGAATTTACTTCAAAATAATAAGAAAGAATTGAAAGAACAATATTCTCTGAAAAGAAAAAATGTTTCAAATAAATCACAAAAGAAATCAACAACCCAACAAGCTAACAAGAAGATGAAAAAAGAATTAGAAGTTGATGAGTCATTAAATTATTACAAGGAAGAGGAAGTAAATGGTGATGTTTCAGATGGGAAAATGGTAAAAGGTAAGATAAAATCAAAAATTCAGAAAGATGATAACAACAATGACTGATTGTTTAGCATAGATGATTAAGAGAAAGAGTAACTAAATAGTCTAAATAGTCTAAATGTTCTAGATATACTTTTACCAAATTCGTCAAAGAAGAACGATAAGGATTTTGAAGGAGATAAAGATGAAAATGGTGAGGATGAATTAAATTGCAAAAAAAGTGATGAAGAGAGGAAAGAGTTAAACATGCATAAAGCAAAACGTATTTTGGAAAAGGTCAATAAAGAAGAATATCTTTTACCTTGTCCTAATAAACGCGGAGAGATTAATAGGACAACTATTAAAATTGAAAATTTTCCCAAGGAAATAACCGAATTAGAAATAAAAGAAAAATTTGAAGAATTTGGTCCCATTAAATCCATACAATTCAAATTGGTTATGCCAGGCCGTTATTTTGATTTTGATGATATTAAATTAAAACATCCATGTTATACATTGCCAGTGCATGTTACAGTATTTATTGATTATCATTGTCCATTATCTGCCGAAAAGGCATTAAGCATGAATGGAAAAATATATGAAGGAAATTACATAATTGTATCCTATAAGAATAACATGAACGGTCCCTCGATTGATAGTGGTAAAACTGTAGTGCTAACCAATCTGCCAAAGAGTATGTATAACAGATATGTTTTACAACTATATATTGTTGCTAATATAGTAAAAAAACTAATAATTGGTTAACTATAAAAATTTCAGATATGGATATCAACCCGATTTGGAAAATATTTGAAATATGTGGAGACATAAAGTATGTAGATATATATCGTAATCGGATTACAGGAATTAATGAAGGGATTGGTACTATTTACTTTGCGACCAAAGATGCTGCGAGTAAGGCTGCAGAACTAAGTGGAACTCTGATTTTTAATCGTCAAATAACAGTAGAACTAGGTTATCCTGCCGGGGCTCTCGAGCAATTGACAATATATAGAACACAAGCAGTTAATCATTTCTTAACAAGTTATAAAACAGTCCAAAATATATTAGATGACAAAAAGTGGCGTAAAAAGGCACAAAAGGCACAAAAGGCACGACAAAATTTGCAATGATAATAGTGCATCTAAAAAGTTCAAGAATAATTTTAAAAGGAGATATAGCACATAAGGTAAATATTTGAATATTTAATATTTTTCGTAAGATGGTTTTGATAGAAAGAAAATTAGTGTTGTATATTGTATATTTGTATATTTGTGATTTTTTTTTATAGATGGAAAATGAAATGGAATATCTCAGTAAATTAATGTTGACCTCGTATAAAAGAAACCGACTTCATTCCAGGGTCAAAAAGCTAATGTCAAACAGAAAAAGAAAAACAAGACACTCAACAAGCAAAAACAGCAAATGATGAAAAAACTTGCAACTAAACTGAAAAAACCCATAAAAGTTTAAATGAACAACGTTATGATACATTTTATAGTTTATAGGATTCAATTAAGAAATATACTCAACATATGACTCATAACGTTCATTTAGTATAAAAAAAAGTAATTGCTAATATTGTTCTATTTAAAAGTTTTACAATGACACATGAATTATTTCATATATAAAACAAAAATAAGTTGTAGCTTGTAGATAATTTTTTGTACATTATAATTTGTGCCATTTGATAAATACAATAACTATTTAGTAATAAAGTTGCATTTTTAAAAATCTACATGATTAATTTTTGATGTTATGTAGTTGGAGTGGTAAATACTGCATATTGTATGCGCATTTGTGACCAAAGCGTTTTGTGAAAGATATGCTACATCCTGTGCATACAGCATGATCATATATATTGCAATTAGCATCTAGAACCAAGATTCACTTTTGTTTGGTAAACGGAACGGGTCTTTTATAATGCAACAGTCTTCTAAATCAATAAATTGCTGAGTGAACGATGGGATCTCGTGAATTTGTAGTCGGTGTCCTTTCAAAGAACAAAAAAGACAAAAATTTGACATCCATTTGTTGTTTCAATACCAAAACGAACAAAGATATCAGATATACACAATTAGATATATATTAAAAAATAATTGATGCTTATACACGTATTTCTCGAAATCAAAGATATTGATTGTGACAGTCAATCTGTTGACGTAGAATGACCGAGTATAATATATTGATAATATAATATATTCAAATAAAATTTAGAATATAAGGTATTCATTAGGATTTCTTTACTTATACTAAATTTGTCTTCCTAAATCTAGCATAATCGATAAATTTGTTCGCGTCGCAATGTCTCAAATATACGTAACGTAATATAAATTGAAGCATATTGAAGCGAGTATATAGGAGCATATTGGGGCATGCGACGCAAAGGATGCGAACAAAACCTTACGAAACTGGGAATGGATGTTTACGGAAGATTCACATTGCGTCTAATGTGATGGTCCAGGCTTGATGCTCGATATGCCATCTAATAGGAAAAAGTGTTTTCTAGGGACTTTACAAATAGCCAATTTGATTTTAAAAAATTAATTTTTTTTTAATGTTAAGTATTATATGTAGAACACAGCATACGTCTTTCATTAAATAATTTGATTATGCGATTGATAGGCGCATTAAAATTATTGATTTTCTATCATCTACGATTAATGTATATTTTTGATCCACCAATCAGATTTATTTTTCTAGAAGTCTACACAAACTGTACGTTTAATGTTTTTTTTGAACGCAACTGTCAATAGCCCTTACCACCACCGACGAGACCCTTACTCTCACTATTCTCAGCTTATCTGTGTTCTTTTCTTCGTGGCTGTAGCTCGTTTGTTGGCTTGTTTGTTAGCTCGTCTATTGGCTCGTCTATTAATCGAAAATAACTTAGGTAGGTTGAATATTTCAAAAAGGCAATTAAAAGTAAGCAATTTATTACACACATATTCTGGAATTATAAATATTTTACATGTTTAATTAAATTCATCTTTTTTTATACTTTATTTCTATTATGTTGCACGTGAAATTTAACCTTTAAATAATCGCGTTAGATCAATTTAACCGTTTCTTTATCGATTAAGTTTACTTCTTTTTCTTATAAAGAATAAAAGAATACGTTTATAATCATATATTGTTTATAATTAAGTTTGAAATATTTAATATAAAACCGATAATCACAAATTCTTTGTTTTCAAAAAAGATTGTTCTGGAAGAAATTCGGTACTTTATGTACACGTTATCATGAATGTATAAAGTCATTAGATAATCGTTTCCTAATACCCTAAAATAAAATATATTAAAAAAAAGGAAGAGTAGTGCCATATCTGAAGAAAAACTAATAAAATAAGCACACATTCTTATATTATAAAGAATCAAGTAAGAGACTACTAATATTACAGAAGAAAATTTATGTATTTAATTTTTTCATACCATATGAATACCTAATCTTACGTTTTGGCATCCCTAACTCTTATTTTCATATTGTAATAATCTTAATGGTTCTAGTGTTTCAAATGGTTCTTTAATAATTCTAATGCTTTTAATTATTGTAGTAACTTAGAAACCAATGGGTAAAACAAAAAAGAAATCAGCACAAAATCCAAATGTAGCTGTAAAACAATCGATAGATAGAATAAAAAGTGGTTCAGTAAAAAAAAACAAAAATCTCAAGTTGAAAGGTACATCTGAAGGCAAAATAGCTTTGATTAACAATTCAAAAATGCAAAATAAAAATAAACTATCTCAGAAAACTACAGACACAAAGAATAATCAAAATTTACTTCAAGATAACAAGAAAGAATTAAATGGAGAACAATATTCTATGAAAAGAAAAAAAAATGGTTCAAATAAATCACAAAACAAATCGGTCAACAAGAAGATGAAGGAAAAGAAATTAAAAGTTAATAATGCTAAGTCATTGGATTGGCAAAAGAAGAAAAGTGAAGTTGGTGATGGTCCAGATGTTGACAAGAGTTTAACAGATGAATCAGAGGAGGATAGTTCGTCCTCTAACATGGATGATATTTCGTCAGTTCTCTCGGATGATAGTTGGTCATTTGCCACTGATAAGGAGCTGGCAAATGAAAAGGAAAAGCTAAAGCAAAAGCAAATGATTGAGCATGAACATGCAAAAGTATTTACCGGTAAAAAGTCAAAAATTGAGGAAGATAATAGCAATGACTCTGATAGTTCTAGTTCATGGGTTTTGTCGGATGACGAGAAGGAAGAAGATGATGTTCCAGATATACTTGGGAAGAGTTTACCAGATGAATCAGAAGAGGATGATGAGGATTTTGAAGATGCAGATGATAAAGATGAAGATGAGGTTGATGATGATGATGAGGATAAGGATAAGGATAAGGATAAGGATTGCAAAGGTGAAGATGTTGAGGATAAAGATAGCAAAAATAAAAATGAGAAAAAGTTAGATAAATTCGTAAACGAAGGATCTGATTATGATGACGATGAAGATGATGATGAAAGAGATGAAGAAGATGATGATGAAAGAGATGAAGAAGATGATGATATAGATGAAGAAGAGTATAAAAGCGATGATGGATCAATTGATGTGAGAGAACTTCAAACCATGCCAGAGATAGAAAATGGTCAATATTCATTCTCCCCTGATGGAAACGTCAATAGAACAACTATTAAAGTTGAACGTCTACCCAACAGTATAACTGAAGAAGAAATAAAATCAAAATTTTTAGAGTTTGGTACCATTACAAACATAGTATTCAGAACGGAACGAAAATGTAAAAATGAATTTAATCAAAATCATCATCCATACTTTGAAGTTTCAGCATTGATTGAATTTAAAAGTCCAATATCTGCCAGAAGGGCATATAGCATGCAAGGAAAGGAAATTGGAGGACGCAAAATAATTGTACAGTATGTGGATAACCCTAACTTACGCCCCATATTTGATAGTAGTAAATGTATATGGGTAGGCAAACTGTCGATGGGTATGTATAACAAATATATATTTTACAAATATGTATTGTTGATTATATAATAATAAAACTATTAGCTGATTAATTGTGAAATTTTCAGGTATAGATAGCAACACGATTTGGAAAATATTCAATGGATGTGGAGACATAGAGTGTGTAAAGCTATTTCGTTATTCATCAGGACATACTAATGGGTATGCTTGTGTTGTCTATGAGACCCAAGATGCTGTAGAAAGGGCTCTGGAACTAAATGGATGTATGATATTTAATCGCCAAGTAGAAGTACGAACCTCTGCTTCTATACACAAAGAAATAGAAAACGCTAAAGAAATAAAGAAAGTTAAAGACGCAGAAAAATTGCAAGGTAAAAGCAATGATAATAATCCATCTAAAAAGTTCAAGACTAATTCGGGAGATGCTGTAACACGTAAAGTAAGTGTTTTACTTTTCTGTAAAATTGTTTTGATAAAAAGAAAATTGGTGTTGTATATTATGGATTTCTTTTATAGGTTGAAGATAAAAAACAACAGATACCTCAGAAAAGTAATGGCCTCGTAGAAAAGACATCGACTTCATTCCAGGGTCAAAAAGCTAATTTGAAACAGAAAAAGAAGAACAAAAAATTCAACAAGCAAAAAATGCAAATGGCGAAAAAACTCGCAGCTAAACTAAATAAACCCGCAAAAGTTTAAGTGAACAATGTTATGTTAAATTTTATAATTCATAGGATACAATTGAGAAATATTATACTCAACATATGACTCATAACGTTCATTTAGTATAAAAAAAGTAATTGCTGATTTTGTTTTGTTCAAAAGTTTTTATAACGATACATGAATTATTTCATATATAAAACAAAAATATGTTTGTAGCGCTTAGATAATTGTTTTTTTTTTTTTTTATTATAATTTGTGTGCCATTTGATAAATACAATATATATTTAGTAATAAAATGCGTTTTTTAAAATCTGCATGTTAAATTTCTGATGTTACATAGTTGGAATGGTAAATTCTACATATTACTGTACATGCATTTGAGGCGAAAGCATTTTGTGTGAAATATGCTACATCCATGCATACAGCACGATCGCATATATTGCGATTAGCGCCTAGAACCAAGATTTCAATTTTGTTTGGTAAACGGAATGGATCTTATAACAGTTCTCAACCATCAACAAATAACGGCGGACGATGTGGTTTCACAAATTTGTAGTCTAATGTTCTTTCAAAGAACAAAGGGGACACAAAAATTTGACATCTATTTATTGTTTCAATCCAAAAAGGACGAAGATATTAGATATACACATTTAAATATATATTATTAAAAAATGATTGGTACTTGTACATGTATTTCTCGAAATCGAAGATATTGATTGTGATCGTCAATCTATTGACAGAATAATCGAGTATAATATAATATATAGTACTCGATATATATTATATAAATTATAATATATATATAGTATAATATATTGAAAATATAATATAAAATTTAGAATGAGGTATTCATTAAGATTTCTTTATTTATTTATACTAAATTTGTTTTCCTAAATCTTGATATTCATCTAGCATAATTGATAGAGTAGAGTAGACGATATTGCTTCGGAGGGTCTCCCTTCTTTCGGCCATCTGGATCGGGTAATCGATAGATTTGTCACGTCAGCAACACGTCGTGATGTCCCAAATATTATATATAACGTAATATTATAGATTGGAGCATATTGAAGTGAGCAAGAGCATGTTGAGGCATGTGACGTGAACAAACCTTATGAAACCCGGAATTGATGTTTATGAAGGATTCACATTGCGTCCAATGTTTGATGTCCGATATGCCAGCATCTAATAGGAAAAAGTGTTTTTTAGGGACTTTGCAAATATTTAATCTAATTTTAAAAAATTATTTTGTTTCTAAATATTGAATATTATATGTAGATCACAGTGTAAATCTTTCGTTAAATAATTTGTGCGATAGATAAGCGCATTAAAATTATTGATTTTCTATCATCTATGATTAATATATAATAGGTCTGTTCTTTATAGCTGAACTGGCTGTACTAGTTCAGAGCTTATCTTTTTCCCTCCACATTGGAAGGAGAAAGATAAACTCTGAACTAGTGCAGCCAGTTCAGCTATAAAAAACAGACCTAATGTCTATTCATGCACCAATCAAATTCAAATTCAAGATTTATTTTTCTAGAAATCTATACACAAACCTACGTTCAATGTTTTTTTTGAACGCAACTGTCGATAGCCAGCAGATAGCCAGTATTGTCACTGCTCCCGCTCCCAGTGTCTCTGCTTTCTTTTCTACGCGTCTGTTGGCAGATGTAGTTGACTTGTGTGCTAATTGGCGATAACTTAGATAACTCGAGTATTTCGAAAAGGCAATTAAAAGTAAGCAATTTATTACAAATATATTCTATATAATTATTAAATATTTTACATATTTAATTAAAACTTTAAAACACATATAATGGATATTTAATTAAATTTATCTCTTTTTAAACTTAATTTCTATCACGTCGCACGTGGCATTTAACCTTTAAATATTAACGTTAGGTCAATTCAACCGTTCCTTTATCAGTTAAGTTTACTTCTTTTTCTTATAAAAAATAAAAGAATAAGCTTATAATTATTTGTTGTTTATAATTAGTTTGAAATATTTAATATAAAACTGATAGTAACAAGTTCCTTGTTCTCAAAGAAGATTGTTCTGGAAGAAATTCTGTACTTTACATATACGGCATTATGGATGTGTAGAGTCGTTAAATAGTTTCCGATACTCTCAAATAAAATATAGAAAAAGAAGAGTAGTTCTATATTTCAAGAAAAACTAACAAAAAAAGTATACATATCCCCATATAATAAAAAAACAAGTAAAAGACTACTAAGATTACAGAAGAAAATAATTCATATATTATTAAATTTTTTGTATATTACGAATACTTAAAATCACATTTAGGCATCCTTAATTCCTATTTTCATATTATAACAATCTTAATAGTTCTAGTGTTTCAGATGGTCCTTTAATAGTCCTAATGCCTTTAATTATTACAGTAACTTAGAAACAATGGGTAAAACGAAAAAGAAATCAGCAGAAAATCCAATTGCAGTTGCAAATCAATCGATAGATGAAATAAAAAGTTTAATACAAAATGCCAAGAATTTCAAGTTGAAAAGTGCAT